GATTATGGTGCGGTAAATTGGGAACAAGTGATTGTGAATAATCGAAGGGTCATGACGAGATCATCCGAATAGCACAGTTACTTGATTGATCATAAGCACTTCTTATTCTTAATCTGTGGAATTCATCGACGCATCTATTCTCTGTATTCATATATGTAAAAGGTCAATTTGGAAAAATGAACAGCTTTTGGTTTCTTGATTCATTCGACTTGATGATGTTCAGACCGTTCCTGATCAGCGTAGTTTCATATTTTTTAGACTAGCACTAATTCGTTCAACTCTACAAAATATCTGATTAAAACAGCTGATTGTGAGATTACTTATCCCGAAAGCTCACTTCATTTATCAAAGAACGCTGTTTAGCAAAAACGAATGATTCAAAAAGAATGCGAAATGAAAATGTCACATACTTAATTCTCTAGCTATTTGATCTATTTTTCTGTTAATTTTATCAATCGCATCTTCTCGTCGATGTCGATGTAGTAGTAGAAGGCCAGGAGGGATATACCGGAAAAAGTTAAAAAGAAAAATATTAAACGACTAATATTAAAAATCAATGAAATATTTTTCTAACTGAACTAATAAATATTTTTCTTGTTGTAAGATAGAAAAATATTTAAATAAGGTACAAAAGTCAGGTTTCGCATATTCGTACCTTTTTGGTAGATTCAAATTGCGACATCAGTTCCATCATTTAGAATGAGATAAATGAGATAGAAACATATTAAAGCTTTTCGCATAAGATAAAAAATATTTAGTTATTTTAAAATAAAGGAAAAATATTTAAATAAAGAAAAATATTGAACGAACTAATATTTAAATAAGATGGAAAAATATTTAACCGATTTTTAACATTAGTCTATAGACCCATCAGGAACAGCAGCATGTTCTTCATTTTTCTCTTTTGTTGTGGTAGTTCAACACTTGTCAATAACCGAACACTTATTGTATCAACGATTAGACTTTTATGTTGATTTATTTCTGATGAGTTGTGATCGGATTATTAATTTTAATATCAATTTCTTTAATATAAGTATGTGTAAAATTAATTGAAGTTACTTTAGCTGTATCAACAGGTGAATGTTGATAATCCCATTCAATCATAATATTTTCTGGTAAATCTATAGCGTTACAAATTTCCACACAATTACGGAACTTTACGTCATTCCAATATGTACTTAATTTTGCTTAAATTTTTCATTCAATTGACTCGTAATATGATTACTATTTTCACGTTTATTTGTCGAGACAAATATTTGATTGAAATTATTTACAGTGTAATGAAACTTAACATAGATTCAATGTAAATTTTTATTGTCAGGATAGATCAAAAAAATCAAATATTAATATAAATATAATCAAACTATAAAAATCAAATGTTCCTAGTTTTTACCATATATGAACGGCAGCAGTATTGCAAACTTATGAAATTTTGAGGAAATTGGTTAAGAACGATGGAGGCTCAGATCTGATCAAGGACTACTTTTATGATGTTTCTAATTGATCGAAGCGGCTTCGTACTATTTTAGTGCTGCTAACACTCAAAGACTCTTATACTATGTCAGCTACACCAAATGCAATAAGCTAAACGGATTCAAATCGTTCAACATCAGAACGAACGTCTCTAAGGGCCGAAAGGAGGAGAGAGCTTTTCTTTCAACAATTGTATCTATGAAGCAGGAAGCAGATACAGATGTATTTGATTCGTATGCAAACGTTTCATGAGTTAGTTGCTCATGAACGTTTCTGCGTTAAAATAAATACTACGGACACGAACAAATCAATGTCTAGTGGAACGAGAGTGAAGAACATCAAAATTCATAAACCAAACACTTAGTTAGGTTGTTATTGCAGCAAGATTCAATTCAATCAATTTATAAAATTCTAACCAGAATAAGTGAGTCAACGATAAAATTATGTTGTATATGGGGGAACAAAAAGAACACGCTTAAAAATATGTCTGTCGACTTTGACACAATCAAATATTGACGTTTTGTTATGTTCGTTATTCATACAAGTGGAGGAGTAGAACTATAATAGAGGTAAGTGTCAATGGTTATACTACCCGACATCTGTCGTAGTGTATGCCAGAAAATTTAGCGAAAATAGTCGATTTCTTGAACTGAAAACATTGGGAGTGAGTTGGTTACACTTCAGCACTTTGTATATTGTTTAAAACGACGTCGGGGCGAACTATGAACGGCCTAAAATTGATCAAAAACAGTGTGTTCATTCGGTTCTCCATACAAAAATAGGTATCTGAAAAAGACTTTTGTCTAAAAAGCTTTTCCTGACAGAAAAAATTTATTTCTAAAAACATCATTTTTCTCAGAAAAATCGTCCTTTTCATTATAGCACTCAAACGACTCCGTCTAAACTTTTGGGCAGTACTGCATTTGAACGAGGGTTAAAAACTGAATAATATGGATAATTAGTCTTTCTGAATATTGTGCAATTTTCACACTAACTGAATCAACGATTTTTTCCATTAAAACTAAAATAGATCTATAATGGTATGCAGAGTTGCAAAGAAACTTTCACATGTTATGGAATTGATAATTCTTCAAAAGATCAGCGGAAAATTTCCGAAAAAGTTTTAATTCGATGTTCTTCTTTCACATGTGAATCCTATTATCGTCAAATCATCATGTAAGATTAGATTATTCCTTTTACATTATTCCTTTTCTTTGGTGTATGATTGTCACCTTGGAGGTTAATATATCAGAAACTCCTTTTTTATATTCTGTAAGGTGACGCATTTGGCTATTAGAACTCTTCAGTATAAATGATAGGTATTTAGTTTTAACAGCAGGCAATATGTTTTCAAAAGTGTAACCGGTCAAAAATGAAAGGATGGGTACGTTTATTTGTTAAAATCGGCCCATGTCTGAATTTCAGCATAAAAGGTTAGATGAAGAACGAGTAGGAGAACGTTTTCAAGCACTTGAGTTAGCCAACTATATCGGGTATGATAGTTAGCGACCAGGTGCCACTAGCTATGAAATCAGATATATTGATCAATTATTGTCCAATATATTGACTCATGTATTGAGAATATAAAGAATACTGTCTACATTGTATCCCGGGATATCCTACTTCCTGTAATATATTACAGAAAGCAATATTCTCCAATTTCTTATTGCCCAATATATTGACTTGATATGAATACAAACTTTGTAAATTTCTGAAGTATATGCGTTGCGTATACAGATACAATGACTGTAGAACAAAAAGGTGAGTAATCCGACCGTCGATATATCGAGTAATATAATTGGACTAGCTGGCTAAATGGTCAATGATATTAAGTTAGCTAGGTATATCTAGTAATGTATCGTGTTAGCTAGCTATATCGCCTGATAGTTGAAATGTTTTTCTGCTTGGGTATTCGAGATGATATTGCGTGTATTTTTTTCTGCTGAAAATGTTCTGTTACGGGAAGAAAGTAAAGAAGGTATTTAGCTTCACGTGCCTACTTTCCCGTTTGTGAGCCGTTGTGTACCCTGCAGGAAGATTGAAAAATCGACTTTTTTTTAGAAAAATAATGTTCTTCTACAGGATATTGTTAGTATTATCATATCAGCTGATTCATTCTCCTATAGTCAAACATTCTGCTTTAACTATCATCGTGTAAAACACTGCAGTATATGTTCATAGGATATCACGTGATGATTAATTATCTCAAAGGGAAAACGACAGAGTTGCGCTGGCTTTTTAGGATTTCTCCTGTTTTAGGAAAACAGTGCTTTCATTCGAAAAGAAACATTCAATAAATGGCGCATTTAGAATGATGTAAAGCTCAAATTTTCTGTAATGTTACCAGACTAGTAGTACAAGTACACAAGAAACTTTCCCTCGTTAGTGTAGTAGAGTATATATAGAACAGTGCCCTTCAAAAGAACGTTAGAAAAAAGTTTTCTAGAAATTCTTCGAAGTATTGTAGTCCTGGAAAATACCAATATCACCGTCCAAGTTTTCCTTTTCTGATGAAGAAAACTCATGAGTTTTGAAAAGTATGTCGGATGTAGCTGGACATATCCGTGTTTTTCTTACAATATCTCGAATTCGAATACAAAATTCGACTAAAGCTTGATAAAAATAATTCGAAATGTTAATGAGAATCTTTAGTTTGCTAAAAACCTTTACACGTTCAGGGTTTTCTGTGATTCTATTGTGAGATAGCCGTCCGCTATAGCTATGTCATGCTAACATTCTAGTTAGTATACAGTTCTATTTTCAGTACATATATACATTTATTTGTAAAAATATTGTAGCTAAAAAACATATTATATACGCAAGTTACCTGCAGAATGGGCAAATAAACATGAGTCAAAACAGCAAGTTGCTGAGAAAAAAGTTTAAAATAACTTTACAGCGATTAGAGAACATTTGAAATCCTTGTATATAAATAACTCAGAGTCAATGCGTTCATTGCAGCTCAAAAGATATTTTTCTGTTGTTGTTTTTTTCAGCTCTTATTTTGAGGTGAGGTGCAACGACAGTTGTTTACGTTTTTCCACGTTATGGTCTTCGTCCACCTGGTCTTGGACGATTTCCACCTTGTGATCCCCAATGCTGATTATTATTTTCATCTGCGTCTTCGCTACTGCCATTCGTATTCCTTGTGAACCAGGCAGCACAGTTGTCTTTAAAAATTTGTTTAATTCCTTGTTTTAACTGTCCAGTAAGCTTCCATAGAGCAACCCGCGCTTCACGTGTTAGGTTTTGTGCTTCGATCATTTGCCGATCTTGATCAACTACTGGTTTTAAATTCTGAAAAAAGGCGGTTATATTATTCAAGAAGGCTTGTTCATTGGCTGAATTTCGAAGATATGCTAATGTGTTTGACCAAGATGCAAAAACGGATGCATAAGAGCCGTTGTTTGCCGCGTCAGTGAGAGATTGTTGAATTGCATTGTATAACGTATTACCTGTTGTTGTGCTGTTTGCAAGGCAGGATTCGAGATTGTCCAACATTTTTTGCCATCTGCCTCCATTATGTGCTCCTGAGCCATGACCACCGGGGCTTCTTTGCCATCTGTGAGCATATCGTTGTGATCGAGCTGACGCGTAGCAAGCAATTGCTACTATCAACTAAAATCACAGAAAAATAGGGTGTCTATACTTAATTAATAGAAATATGTATATAAAACTAATTAGTTTCATAGTTAACTTACCAGAGTCGATACTAAACATAATTTCATTGTTATTTAAAATATGTTTTAAGTGCGAATAAATAAAGTATAATTGCAGTAAATGCTTTAGTTCATCTACTCTTATATATGCTTTGGGTGAGCTAACAATTTAAGCAGAAACTCGAGAAATTTCTTTGTTCGCTTTCTGTTCTTTTTCTCCCCTTAATTTGGTGACATCCAACCTACCTTCTTCTTGTGTGTATTGATTTAAACATACCACCTTTACGTTTTTATGCACTCTGTAATTTTTTTCTTTCTTTCTTTTATCATAGTAATATAGCAGTGATAATTATTTACATTTCTAATAGAAAAAGAAACTAAAAAAAGAGAAGCATTTTCAACATCAGTGATAGTGTATTATATTATGTAGTGATGTCAATGAACTGTGAATTCATCAAATTTGAATGAAGAAAAAGATCGTACTTTCTCTCTACGCGGCACTGTCGATGATTAATCAGTATATTTTTCTTTTTTTGTAATTGAGAAGAAGAAAAGAACAAAAAAAAAGCCTATGAATAAATTTATTTATCTCAACAATGTTTTCTATGTGAAGCTAAACTAAAGTTTCATTTAACGTTGTTTCTTTTATGAAACGAGAAATATCAGTTAGGTAATGATCTGTTACTTAACAAAACGTGTTTACCTATCACACTTGAGGTCAAGTGATTATATGTAACACAATGTTGATTCCTTAACAAATTGAGAAGAAAGATATTAGCACATCTACGTTTTTATCTCTCATGGTAAAAAACCTGGGCCCAATAGTCTCCCGCTGAAGAAAAGCATCTGTTTTGGCAATGTCATCACTCGATGACAATAAAACTGTTCATTAGGCTTTTGGACGACCAAAACGGTTATCGAAGATTGTAACTAATACTATTATTTTTCTGCTAGTTAACAATAGAAAAGGATGCGTTTACTACCTGCTAGCTCTTATGATGTTATTTATGATTTTATGATAAACCTTTTTAATTCTAAAGCCAAAACTATACAGATAAAATCTCATTTATCTCCTTGCTCTTTCGTATCTTATTCCTCTGATTACTGTTTTCCATTTGTTAGTTGGTTGTGAATACATGTATCAGAAGAGAATTAATGAAATTTTAAAATTACTCTAAAAGCTGTTTAGTTCTTCACTCTAAGCTTAACAAGTTGTTCTTTTCTGTCAGTTGATTCCTGGGAAACAAAAATGTTTTTCATGAAGATCAGATCCATTAATTATTTTCATGTGTTATTCGTGCTGGACAGCATGCTGGCACTCCAAGAATAAAGGAAAGCTAATGTGCCACTCAGTTTGAACCTCACCGATCAAAGTATACTTTTTTAGAATGTACTGTTCTTGAACTGTTGTAAAATTATGATCAGAATAAACATGAGTCAATAGATCAATAATTAAGTGTTTGCACTCAATATTCTTCTGCTTCCTGTCAATCTTCTTTCTAGAAAGAAAGAGAATGTAGAAAAAAGTACATATTCATTAAGAAGTTCTTACGAAGTATCTATGTATTATTTAAGCAAAAATAGTAAAGATTTGGTTATCTAAACCCCCGTCCACATTAGAAGCCCAGTGGGCTTCTATTATGTCCCGCAAGAAACGCAAAATTTTCTCAAAAAGTACCCTATGGAGGCGGGGGCAGGGGCAAGTTTCAAAAAATTTCTTGCCAGACTGGGCTTCTAATGCAGGCGGGCTTCTATTATGGGGGGGCTTCTAATGTGAGGGGAGGTTTACACAAACTTCATCGGCGGTGGGCATAAAAGTGCCACTTTTCCAAGGGGAAAACTGCGGACTTTTTAAACTTGAGTGGACTTTAAAGTCCTCTCAGATCTTTTAAAATCTCCAAAGTCCGCTCTAATCGATGGACTTCAAGGTCCGGTAAAGTCTCCGTAAGTCCGATCAAGTTCACTCAAGTCTAAAGTCCATAATGGAAAGTATTACGCACAGCTAGATTGTCCGATGAAGTTAAAGGCTATGCAAAATTACAGTTCAATGTTTGCGAATATTGCTGATCATATTAAAAAAGTCGGTGCGACCTATACATAGTATGACAAAACGGATGCTTTCTACGCTCACTACATTTGAACCAATATTTTGTACGGTTTTTTTAATTTAACAATATTGGCAAACATTAAACTGTAATTTTGCGTAGTCCTTCGCTTCATCGGACGATCTAGTTGTGTGTAATACTTTTCATTCTTGCTTTCGAATATTCTTTTTGTTGTCTGTTCACTAATGAATTTGGTATTAAATTGGTATATATCTTCTTGTATACATTTCTTTAATTAAAATTTTCTTTAATTGGTTTGGTGATCAGAACACACTTTCCTGTTTTTATTATTATCTCTAATTGATCGTTATGCCTGTAGTTATCAATTACAATCAAAAATACGAAAAATAAATTAATATCAATACGCGAGATTTTTACTTAGGGTGGTCCAAAAGTAGTGGTTTCAGTATTATATTACTCCGCAGAAAGCTTAAATAGAATTCCTTCCCATATATAATTGTAGTGTCAACAGTGCTCTATATTTCTTCAATGTATCATCCTTCACCATTTGCTATTGTTATATGAGAAGAGTTCGACGGAAGCTATGCACCCATGTTTTAAATTAATAAAGAAAATTTCCATTTCTACATCAAGCTGCGTACTGCACTTCATATTGAACCAAAAGTTATTCACGACGAATTATATTCTGTTTTCGGCGACAAAGCTCCATCTCACAGTACAGTTGTAAGATGATCAAATGGTTTCGCGAAGGTAGAGAACAGACTGAAGTGAACCACGACCTGATCGCCCAGTAACCGAGACAACATCCGAAAAATATCAAAGAGGTTCGGCACTGAAAAAGAACCAAAACTCTTCTTAACAAAGTACAATTGTAGCGCGCACATTTCTGATTAAAATGAGACCTATCCCGGCTCTACATAACCTTTCTTTGCAAAGTTACAGAATTTAGAAAAGAAGCCCTAAATTAGTTTTCCTTATTTCTGTAGCTGAGCTAACAATGAACATTTAGGGCTTTTCTTGTAAATTCTATAACTTTGCAAAGAAAGGTCATGTAGAGCTGGGAGAGGTCTCATTTTAATCAGAAATTTTG